AAAAAAAAAGAGAGAGAAAAAAAGAATGGCTATCAGAAGAGGTCCCTTGATACAGGAAGACAACCCTCACCGTGACACCATGCTGCTGGTAAGCAAGATTCCTTCTTATTTGCTGGAGATGGGTGTGGGCAACATTGTCTTTTAGGGCTCTAAAGCAAAAAATCTGTGGAAAGAAAGGACACAACCAGTTATAAGGACTAGAATCAGTAGAATCTGTTAACTAAGAACAGAACACAGACAGTGCCTCAAATCGGAGGAGAGAAGGTTGGTCCCAGCTTCTTACAGCTGTTCCATTTCCCTGAGTGTTTCTCTGCTTTGAGATTCAACCGGGAGCCCAACACAAGCCAGCCAACACAGCAGGCACTTAATAAATATTTGCTGAACCCTTCTTGCTGTCCATGTATACTGTACAAGAACACACCTATACCAGGAGAGAACCCCATAACCCACATGACAATTCTACAGACCAAGGTCAACATCAACTTTTGCCTCTCAGAAAAAAACAGACCGACTCTATCTGTGGTCGTTTTCCTGTTTTTGTTTTTTACCATGTGGGCTCAGTGTGTACGTTTATACAATTGTAAACACAGTGTTGCTAAAGTGGAGGAAGGAATCTTTAGTGAAAGAGGGGTTGGGATTGGGGCAGGATATCTGGACCTGGATCCAGCTCCATCAATAATGCCTAAAAGGCCTGGTGCAGTGGCTCACGCCTGTAATCCCAACACTTTAGGAGGCTGAGGCAGGAGGACTGCTTGAGCACAGGAGTTCAAGACCAGCCTGGCCAACATTGGGAGACTCTGTATAAAAAACTAAAAAATTCATTGGGCATGGTGGCATGTGCCTGTGGTCCCAGCTAACTTGGGAGGTTGAGGTGGAAGGATCACTTGAGTTCAGGAGTTCAAGACAGCAGCAAGCTGTGATTGTACCACTGCACTCCAGCCTGGGTGACAGAGGAGACTCTATCTCTAATAATAATAATGATAACAATGATGTCTTAACACCGGGCATGGTGGCACATGCCTATAGTCCCAGCTACTCAGGAGGCTGAGGTGGGAGGACTGCTTGAGCCCAGAAGTTGAATCTAGCCTGGGCAACATACTGAGACCCCATCTCTAAAAAATAATAATAATGCCTCACAGATTGGCTAGGCAAAGCTGATTTGCCCATATTCCTCCATGCCTTAGGCCTCGGTTTTCTGAGACAGAAGTGAAGATATCAGGCTGGGTTAAGGGTTTTTGTACTGTGCTTTGTGGAACCCCACAGGCTCCTGAAAATATTTGAAGACCACCTTGTGTAGCAGCAGAAGGGAAGAGTAGCAGGCAGAACAGGGACTGACTCCCTGACATGCTTCAACCACAGCATGGCTACTTTGACCTATTTAAAGTTGAGGCTTCCACCACTCAAAAGGGGTTTTCCCATGCAAAAAAAAAAAAATAATCTCTGAGGTTCCTTTACAGCTCCAAACCCCTCTAACCCCATACCATTACCATCTGTAATCCAAAATGAAAACAGGGACACCTACAATGGAAGGGGGGCTTCGTGACTAAAACTCACCCATAGCTAGCTGCATTTAATAAAGGTGATAGGAGTCAGGGTCCAGCAAGAGGGGATACCCAAGAAAGGCTGCTGAGCAGAGCCATGCCAGGCTGCAGGGTTCTTACCAGCTGCCTGTGCCTGTGGTGCTCTTCTGCCATCTCACACTGGGCAGCTTCTTCTGCACATAGCAGCATGTCTTTCAGGAAGTTAAGGTCTCCAGTCTCAACAATGTTCTGGCCCCCACACAGTGCATTTCCAGTGACCCACCTGAAGGGCTGTGGCTGTCAGGGATAACAGATGTACCAGCTGGGCTAAGGTCTACCTCTGTCTACCCCTGATGACCCAGAGCAGCAGTGGGCAAAGGGAAACTGTGTCAATTACTGATCAAACATCTGGCCTTGCATTCCTTCCCTTGAATGCCCATGAGATGAGAGGCAAAAAATACCTGAGATAAACCACTACCGGTTTCAGTAAACATTTAGAAATCACCATATCAAAAACAGAATCTGCTTCTTTTTCTGTACTCTCTGTTTTGGCATCACAATCTAGTCAGTTGAGCTAAAAACCTTGGAGTTATTTTCAAACCTGTTCTCCTCCCACTCTCATTTAATCGGACGCCAAGTCCATCTGCTCTCTTCCTAAATCTCTTGGCTCTCTCCATCCCCTCCTGCTCTTCTGTTCCCATCCCCAACACCCTGCAGTTCATCTGACTCATTCCTTTACACAGATTGGTAAGTGAGCCTCCTCCCATAATGGGTCTCCTACTAGGGCTAGCCTCTCTCCGCTAATCCAGAATTATCCTTTCCAAAGCACAAATCTGACTGCATTTCCTTTCTTTCTCTCTTTTTTTTTTTTTTTTTTTGAACATCATTCATTGTAGCATCTTAACAAATTTCAACTCTGAGAAATTATTTATCTCACTGGGTCTTGCTCTATCAACCCAGGCTGGAGGGCAAGGGTGCCATCATAGTTCACGGTAGCCTAAAACTCCTGGGTTCAAGCGATCCTCCCAAAGCACTTGGCTTACAGGTGCAAGCCACTGCCCCTGGTCTCTTTTCTTTCTTTTTTTTTTTTAATCACCCCCTTCCCCCACCTCTTCTCTTCTTAAAAACCTCTAATGCTGGGTGTGATGGTGTGTGCCTGTAGTTCCACATACTTGGGAGGCTGAAGAGGGAGGACTGCTTAAGCCCAGGAGTTCAAGACTGCAGTAAGCTACCACTGCACGTGTGAAAGCCACTGCAGTCCAGCCTGGGCAACATGAGACCCCATCTCTAAATTTTAAAAAGTTAAAAAACCTCCAGAGATCCCTGCATCTCATCTACCTTCCCGCCATCCACACATCGACAGCTCACTGGATTCTTGAATGCTTTTCCTCAACGCCAAACCTGGGTAAACATCATTCTTTCCACTGAAAAGCCGTTTCCAACCTTCTGCAGTCTTCCCCTAAGACATCAACCTTCTCAACTTCTCATCTCCTATGACTTAAATTCAGGACAAACATGACCTCCTTGGCTGAATCTCCACAGTGGCTCTCACAGGACTTGAAACAAATCGTTATGATAGCAGTTATCATGCCGTATTTAAAGATCCATTTTCATGCCTATTTTCCCCACTAGACAATGAATTACCACTAGTCTGAGCTCCCTCGTATCCCAGAAATTAAGCAGGAGTTTACACAAGGCAAAGCTTTGATGAACAAATAAAATGTGTGAATGAACGTCTTAGGCAGTCCAAACTCTCACACTTGGGCACATAGTATGGTAGGAGTAGTGATTAAGAAAATGTACACAGGGCCGGACACGGTAGCTCATGCCTGTAATCCCAGTACTTTGAGAGGCTGAGGCAGGTGGATAAACTGAGGTCAGGAGTTCGAGACCAGCCTGGCCAACTTGGTGAAACCCCGTCTCTACTTAAAGTACAAAAATTAGCTGGATGTGGTGGCAGGCGCCTGTAATCCCAGCTACTTGGGAGCCTGGCTAAGGCAGGAGAATCACTTTAACTCAGGAGGCAGAGGTTGCAGCGAGCCGTGATGGCACCACTGCAATCTAGTCTGGGCGACAGAGATTCTGTTTCAAAAAAAAAGAAGAAGATGATGACGTACACAGGAGTTAAAGGCCTGGGTTTTTTAAATCCTGACTCTGCCAATGACTTGTGACTTTAAAATACACTCAATCCCCTGAATCTGTTTCCTCACCCGTAAAATGGCAATAGTGGCACCTACTCCACAGGGTTGCTATGAGGATGAAGAGGATGATACATAATGTTCTGCTATATAGTAAAAGCGCAATAAATGGAACCTATGATCACGGTGATGGTATCATCAAGAAAAAGACAGTGGTGGCTATTTCCACCACCTAGTGGGTAGAGAAAAGCACTTAAATTACAACACCAAAAATTTTAATCAGGAAAGTGGGATTACCTCTGAGGGAAAGGAAAAAGAATGCAATCAGGGAGGAGCAAATAGGTGTGCTAGTAAGGTTCTATTTTGAAAGATGGGTGACAGATACATAGTTGTTCATTTTATTATTATTATTTTTGGTGACAGAGTTTTACAGTATTTACCCAGGCTGCAGTGCAATGGTGCGATCTCGGCTCACTGCAACCTCCGCCTCCTGGGTTCAAGCAATTCTGCCTCAGCCGCCCGAGTAGCTGGGACTACAGGCGTGCGCCACCATGCCCGGCTAATTTTTGTATTTTTACTAGAGACGGGGTTTCACCATGTTGACCAGGATGGTCTCGGTCTCTTGACCTCGTGATCCACCCACCTCGGCCTCCCAAAGTGCTGGGATTACAGGCGTGAGCCACTGCACCTGGCCCATTTTATTATTATTTTTGAGATGGAGTTTTGCTCTTGTTGCCCTGGCTAGAGCGCAATGGCACAATGTCAGCTCACTGCAACCTCTGCCTCCTGGGTTTAAGTGATTCTCCTGCCTCAGCCTCCCAAGTAGCTGGGATTACAGGCATGCGCCACCATGCCTGGCTAATTTTGTATTTTTAGTAGAGATGGGGTTTCTCTATGTTGGTCAGGTTGGTCTCAAATTCCTGACCTCTGGTGATTCTCCTGCCTGGCCTCCCCAAGTGCTGGGATTATAGGCGTGTGCCACTGCACCCTGCCCATTTTATTATTTTTTTTAACTATAAATATATAAGTACTCTTTTGTATATACAGTCCCAATTAAACAAAACATTTTAACACTGTCAACAGAGATAAGGCTGTCTTAAACTGTTGGGCAATTGTTTCCCATATATCTCATGACTTTTGTTTCACATGCTCCTAAGCGCCTGCTGTCCTGGCTGAGGCAATGGACAGCCTGGGTATCTGAAAGGATACAGTGTTTCCAGTGAGTAAAGGTGCGCCGCAAGGCCATCTTCCTGGCCAGTTTCTCCACCTGGGCCTGGTGGGCGTGCAAGCTCTCCCTCCGCTCCCAGGCCTGCTGCCAGTCACAGAAGTGTATCTGGAGCACAGTGACATGATGGAATCGTTCAGCCATCTCTGCAACAGAGAAATAACTTAAAGTGCTGCTCGCCCAAGGTTAGAAGATGAGCTGGAAGCATCTTTTTTAAAATTATTATTTGAGAGCGAGTTTTTGCTCTTATTGTCCAGGCTGGAGTGCAATGGCATGATCTTGGCTCACTGCAACCTCCGTCTCCTGAGTTCAAGTGATTCTCCTGCCTCAGCCTTCCCAAGTAGCTGGGATTACAGGCACATACCACTATACCCAGCTAATTTTGTATTTTTAGTAGAGACTGGGTTTCTCCATGCTGGTTAGGCTGGTCTCGAATTCCCGACCTCAGGTGACCTGCCCATCTCGGCCTCCCAAAGTGCTGGGATTACAGGTGTGAGCCACCACGCTCAGTGGAAGAATCTGTAGGACAAGCTGAACCCCACTTTTGACAGAGAGCAGGGATTCAAGGCTGTACACACACACGCACACATACACACACACACACACACACACACACACACATACACACACTAAAATAAAAGGTTTTTAAATTTTATTTATTTATTTTTTTAAAGACAGGGTTTCACCATGTTGGTCAGGCTGGTCTTGAACTCCTGACCTCAGGTGATCGGCCCGCCTTGGCCTCCAAAGTGCTTGGATTACAGGCGTGAGCCACCACACCCGGCCTAAATAAAAGTTTTTTAAACCTTTAAAGGTCATTAGGAATCCGTGAGCAACATCTCCTGTCTCCAAGGAGAGAAAAGGTCTGTGATTTTAGGGAGAAGGTTGCTATAAAATCAAGTTACATCACAGGGCTGGGGCTTCTAGTTAGATACTAATGAGCAGGAATGGTAACCATTGCTTTCAAAGAGGACTCTGTTTCACTTTTGCTTCTATACAAATATCTCCTGGATAGGACTTAGAGATTCAGCAATGACATAAAATCCAGTTGCCATGCTGGGGTAGGCTTTTTCTGGGCTTTCTGCCAAGCTGTTCCTGGCTGCCAGTTTTATCTTCTTTTAATGCTAGTCAAGATAATGGTCTGATGAGCTGGGAACTGGGAAGGGGATGGGAATCAGACCTGGAATTTGAATGCTGTAATTGGAGGCAGAGGTTAAGTCTATAGCTTATCATACTAAACAGCTTAATGCTTTCACATTCTAAGACTGGGCAACTGGACTATTGGTCTGGCATCACTATCGTCAAATGAATACATTCAGACTCTCCCAAGAGACAGATTCATGCAGGGAGGTTTGGGTGAATGCTAGAGACCCTTAACCCAGTGTCTAGCACAGTGCTTGACTCACTTCTGCATAAACTTAATAAACTTAAGTTAAAAACTGTACCAATGTTCATATTTGTTTATTATTATTTCTGAATCTAATTGGGAAATGAAATCATATAAACAGTATCCAAAAACCTTGACATCAAAATCATATACATTCAAATAGTTGGAGACAAACAGAAACTATCCAAATATCTATTAATAGGAGAATGGCGGCCAGGCATGGTGGCTCACACCTATAATCCCAGCACTTTTGGAGGCCAAGGTAGGCGGATCACCTGAAGTCGGGAGTTTGAGACCAGCCTGACAAACATGGAGAAACCCCATCTCTACTAAAAATACAAAATTGCCTGCACATGGGGGTGCACAACTGTAATCCCAGATACTTGGGAGGCTGAGGCAGGAAAATCACTTGAACCTGAGAGGCGGAGGTTGCAGTGAGTTGAGATCGTCCCATTGCACTCCAGGCTGGGCAAGAAGAGTGAAACTCAGTCTCAAGAAAAAAAAAAATAGGCCGGGTGCGGTGGCTCACGCCTGTAATCCCAGCACTTTGGGAGGCCGAGGCAGGTGGATCACGAGGTCAAGAGATCGAGACCATCCTGGTCAACATGGTGAAACCCCGTCTCT